GGCGCGGACAAATGTGCCTTCAGCTTCAGAGTGAATATAAGTCCTCTAACATATACGATAACAATTAAAATGATGATACTGATCAGACTGTGTGCGAAAGATACGGCTCTTTTTGAAAGTTTTAAGCTTAAGCTTAAAAGACCAAAATTTTGCAGTAGACTAATAAGTTTTGTAAAACAAACAAAGAAGGATAAATACCTTTTCCTCCTCCTTTTCAATAAACCTTTATCTATGTGCCGCAAGTAATAAAGATACTACTTGTTACGCTTGTATTGATATTATATCGTTCCTGATGGTAATTGGATGCTGTGGCCCAAGGACACCTACATCTTTCTTCGGTAAATTTCAGAATCGAATCAAAATACAGATCTATAGTCACTCTTACCTAGTTACCAGTGAAAACGGTCTCCAATTCTAGTCAATTACCAGTATTTTGTATGTTAAGTGTATTTCACGCTAGTGTTTTGTACCAGTGTGGACCTTCCCGAGTATACCACGTCTTAAAAATAGTTAATCCCAAACTTGGACCAAGAAAAGTAAACAATTCTTATCTGGCCAGAAGTACGCTCATGCATTAAAATTCTCTACCAACAGGCAACAGGCCAGAAAAGTATAAGTGATCTTTCGTACAAGCTTTTTGCGTAACGGATTAATTGAGAGTTTTGACTTGGAAGGGATTTTGATGGTTGTTTAAGGTAGTGCTGTTTCTGAGATAGGAGTTGACAAGGCCAAGCGATTATCAAAACCAAACTAATTCTGTTATAACTAGGCACCTAAATATACACTTATTTATACATTTTTGTAATTATAGTTATATATATATATATATAGGAACAAACATTCATTGCTATGCGAACGATAGCACTGGTGATGCTTTATACCTCGCCATATTTCTCGGGAAAACGTCGCCGAGTATCCGAACAAACTTATGTCTGAAGTCTCGACTTCGACAAAGATTCGGATTGGGGGCGACTAAATCTAGCCCAGTTCGATCCCCAGAAGACACAAGTTTGCGCGCTTACCACAAAAAAAAACCCTTTTATCGTATCTCTTCAGTTTCAGAGCACTCCCCTTGTCGCCTTAGCCAGTATCGGAATCCACGGTGTCAACATATCGAGTGACGTGCAGTTTGGTGGTCACTTTGAAGATAAAACCAAATTGGCATTTAAAAAGTTTGGCGTGCTCAGCAGAGCGGGACAGTATTTTATGCCGGCACACCGCCTGCAACTTTACATGGCGCAGGTTCGGCCTCACATGGAATACTGTTTCCATGTCTGGGTTGGGGCTCCCCAGTGCCAGCTTCTTCCATTTGATCGCATCCAGCACAGAGCGGTTCGGATTGTCGGTGATCGAGCTCTTTCTGATCAACTTGACTCTCTGGCATCGCGAAATGATGTTGCATATCTTTACGTATTTTATCGCATCTACCGCGGGGAGTACTCTGAGGAATTGTTCGGATTAATTCCAGCCGCCCAATTTTACGACCGCACATCGCGTTAAAATTCACGATACCATCCTCATCTAGATGCTTAGCGTTCCACCATTGTTCGATTTACAAGAAATCTTTTTCCTCACACAATTTCCTTGTGGAATCGACTATCACCAGCGATCCCCCTGCTATTGCAGTTTTTCATGGGCGGCAGTCGACACTTACTATCAGGTGCGCCGCATGCTCGTTTTCCCTTTGTTGTTGAAATGAAACAATTTTGTTTTATAGAAAATAAACAATTATTTTCTATAAAAAATAATTGTTTCATTAAATAGCATTTCAACAAACTTTAACGCAATTTAAACATCACCAAAGTTTTTTTAGAGTAATAATTCCTAAAAATATAATACTCACTTTAAGTACATGGATTTTCTATAAGTAATAATCACATTAACTTAATTTAAAAATTAATATATAGTTCAGCTAATTCCATACATTTACAGACATTTCTCTTTGAACGAAATCCAACCCTCCACCAATGTACTACCAACTTGAATATTTAAAGTTAAGGGTAAGGTTTTAAATATAATATATATTGTTATAAGTGAGTTTAAAAATTAACATGCACTTACATACACTAATAACATTTAAAATAAAACCAAGAAGAGGAATGTGCGAAAAAGTTTGGTGTAAATTTTCTTATAATCACTAACACAGCTATAAATATATATTGTCTAAATAATACGAGTGTAAGTAAATGAATATATTCACAACTACTCGTATGTGAGCTTTCCCAAAAAAGGCTTTTTGCTTATAGCATTGTCGGGAACTTTAATACCTTCAATAAGCAGTTAAATATTCCAAATGTTTATAAAAACCCGAAACCAAAGAAACTATACGAAGATACCGTAGTTAAGGTTTTTTCATTTAAAAAGAATGAAGGGTCTACGTTATCTAAAAGGTTTCTACCTACGTCATGCATATCTCTTTCGCACATTTACCTCTCTATCCAACACTGCTTCCAACCAATAAGCTCGAAAATCGACATGAGCATGTTGCATCTGTAAAATCAATTATCATTAGTATTAATTGTTAATAAAAACACTCATAGGATGTGAGCCGTTGCATTTTGCCAACTCTATAAAAAGAGGGGGTGATTAATACGGTTGTATTAGATTTTTTATCTTGATTAACTAAATACTTAATTTGTTTTATCGAGAGAGTTCACTTTCACAGTGGTCCCACATTAATTACGACCAGATTAGTGATAACTAAAGACTGTTTATGTTTTTTGAAGTTATACTTCTTTTGGGGCGTTTGGGAAAATTATGAGGGGAATTTTTAACGATACGCGCGCACACCGACAGCTAAAAACGACACCATGAAGTTGTTACGATGCGCGCACACACTGACGACTCAAAGCGGCAACTTCATTGGGTAACTGTCTCTCAAATTTTCGTGGAAACTGATAACTATATTTAAAGTAGTAGTACATATTTTTAGTTATTTTTGTTTTGTTACGCTAAAGAAGTATAACTTCCTACGTGCATACATAAGTACACACCCACGTTTTATTTATTAATTATTTTCTTCTTATTTCACATATAAAGCATTTTATTGCGTTTTAATTTTTACTACGAGCCGTGTATATTCGATATGTGCAGGATCTAGCTACTTCACTTCTATTTTTAAATAATATAGCAATAATAACTGCTATTAATTACTAGTACTGATGTTAACTAATCCATCTATGCTTACGATATTTGTGCTAGGAGTGGTTAAGGACCAGTAGTAAGTGGTGGTTGCGAGTACTAGCTTTACCCCCTGCTTATATTTGTTGCGAGACCGACCTAACCCATCCTTGCCTCGTTTAGCGGGTATGCGCAGCCATCTCGAAAAGTAAGGTATTCGAATGAACGTTAGCGGTCTTTTGTATTAGTCTTCAATTTTTTAAACAATCTTTTACACAGGCTTGTTTTATAATATTGAATTTTATTTTGGGAATTTTAACAATTTAAAAATAAATCAAATTTTATGGGGGCCATTGTGAAGTTAGAACAAGAAATAAGATAATATAAAAAATCCACAATCTATGTTAACTATAATAAATATTGACTGTAATCTCGTAGATGTTTTGTTCTGTCTATTTATTAAAAATAGAGATGATTTAGTTACCACGTCTTTTTTAGACAAATAAAAAATTTAGGGCACTAAAATGCATCGGCTCTTGATAGTAATTACTGAACTTGTACAAGAGGGTCAAAAGACCTTTATTATAAAGCAATCATTTGTGTTGAACCTAAAATGGAAAGTAATTAATAATTAATGTAATTGTATATTTTATGTTTGACCCCCTGTACTAAAAAAATGTTAGCTGTTTTTATTTTGTTTTATATACTCGTAAACATGAAACATGAGAATCTATTTTCAATTAACTATCGGTAGATGTTATGCATGTTTCCATTATTGCAATTTATTGACGTATCTTTTGGAATATTTGAGATTGTAATATTCTCAATAAAATTTTAATTATATGTTTTAATAATTAACAAACTTTAAAGTTTGTAATAATATTTTTAAAGCTTTATTTTGTATATTTTATATTTCTCATTGTTTTGTATTATTGCAAAAAAGTTTCTAATTATTGCATGGTAACACGTTCATACAAAATTATAAATTAAAATCCCATTTTATGTTGAGATCGTTTCTGTAGCCACATACTTATAAAACCAGGCATGAATTGAATTTATGGCACCATTAAGTTAAAACAGCTAACGAATTAATAAAATATCACAATTTACAACATTATACATATATAAAACAAAACGTGTAGTGAATGATACATATCTTATAGAAGTGCGGAATGTGTTGCATTGTTAACGAATTTTAGTGTTTTAGTTGGTTAATGATGTTGTGATAACTTAAATGTAGGATGCCAATAACTAAATTTATTATGATTAATAGAATCAGATTTAACTTTGCGGAAACCATTAAAAGTTAACTAGTTAATATCTTTAACTAATTTTATTGACAAAATTATTCTAATTACAATTTACATTAATGTTTTCTAATATTATACTCACAACACTAATATAGCTTAAAGTTCACTTCTAGTTGGTCTAGTGGTCATAAAACTGACTGCTGGTTAAAATCGTGAGTCGGACCAAAAAAACTCTGAATTTTTCTGTCTAGAAATTCCCAATAGCTGCTCGGAGTTAGGAAGTTTGCGGTGTTTCACTCCCGTGCCTCAGAAAGCATGTAAAGCCGTTGGTCTTACGCCTGATCTCTCTCCGGTCGTGTCGGATAACCATCCCATTGGACTATGCTTGCGCTTACTCTTGGGCACTATAATCCTGTCCTGCGCAGATGGCTAGTCTTGTCGTAACCGCAATTCGGTATGGAGGACATTATAGCTTAAAGTAAATATTGAGTGTCTACTTATCTACGTATTTAAAGTTTAAAATCGCTGTTACTGAATTAATATTTTTAAGGTTACTGAATAACTTAAAACTTCTTTAATGGTATTACTACTACTTATACTACTTATAATTATGGATAAAGTCAAGGAAACCTGGAGGATCCAATTCGGATGTAAGCTTGCCACGGGAAAGTTCCAAACCCAGCGTCATCTCCACCAACAATACGCCGCTGGGCTGTCTGCTTGTTTACTGCTATACCACAACCTGGAAACAATTAATAGTTTTAAATAAGTAATGCGGATTAGAGCAATATTGATTCCGTCATCAAAAAGATTAGAATAAATCATAAATAATTTACATAAAGAGATCATTATCATAGTAATTGCGATTGCATGTACTGCACCATTAATTTTTTATTAATAAATAGACAAATATGCATTATTAGTAATTAAATATGCATAGTATAACTAATTTTGGATTTATATAGAGTAAAGGTGACAAACGAGTACACAATCTCACAATAAAAAATTTTACAGTGTTAGAGCCATGCGGCAGCTTTTGCTGTCGCACGTATGGGCCGGCTCGAACCGGGGTGGTACCACGACCTCACAGAAAACCAACGTGAAGTAGAGGTTTGCCTCTGCGTTTCGCTTGGTGAGTGCAGGTGGCCGGAGGCCCTTTTTACTGGAAATGAGGCATTCCATCTTAGTCCTCACGGGTGACAACGCATCTACATTTTGATTTGTAATAGAGGATAGATGTAGATGTCTATGGGCCGCAGCAACCATTTACCATCAGGTGGACTGTGTGCTCGTTTGTCACCCTTATCCTATAAAAAAAAATCTATCCGATGGTAAGTGAATGCTGTAGCCCATAGATCCAAATTAGTCATAAAGCTAATCTTAAAACTTTCGACTGAACGAAGATACCATCATTTATGTGGTAGAGACATGACGTAACTGTATTATAGTTGTAGAACGAATGGGTCAGCCCGGCCAAGGAAGTACCACGCTCTCACAGAATACCATTGAGAAATAGCTGCTTGTATTTCGAATAGTGAGCGTAGAGGACCGAAGACTATTTTTACTGGAAACGATTAATTCCATCTTAGTCCTCAGGGTTACAACCCATCTGCATTTTGATTCTTGATCGAGGATAAATGTAGATATTTATGGGTCACATCATCAGGTTGACTATGTGCTCGCTTGTTACCCTTATTTCATTAAAAAAAAAAACAGAGAAAAAACAGCCGTGTATTAGCGGCGTGAGCGGTCACTTAGGAGAAAATTAAAACAGGAGTTGCGCATCAGCATGTTTCTGATAACAACTGGAAATAATATAAATAAACTGCGGTTGCCAACCCGCCAGCGAGGCTATATTCAGCAGTGGACTTTTAATGAGCTGTAATCAATGAATAAATAAAAAATATTTTTGAAGTTAATATGGCGGTATAACTTAACTTAGGAAACCTAAATACCCCGAAAGGCTCGATTATTTTGTTTTTATCCGAATCGGTTACAAGTTTGTCTAGAATAATACTTTGACTGTTAAAACTAGATTCACAATATAGCAACGGGATCATATCACTTACACGGTGCACTATATCTATAAGTTATCAAACAAAAGGATATACTCGTATGAAAGGTTGATTGCACGCCATGAAGACATGAATAATCATTTTCAAAATTTATATCTTTCTGTCTGTCTGTCTGTTTGGGCTAATCTTCGTAATGATTGTAATGAAGCTTCACAAATGGATAGAGAGTAATTCTGGGAGTTTTTTTTCTTATAGGATAGGGTGACAAACAAGCACACAGTTCACCTGATGGTAAGTGGTTGCTGTGACCCATAGACATCTATATCTATCCTCGTTTGCGAATCAAAATGTAGATGCGTTGTCACCCGTGAGGACTAAGATGGAATGCCTCTTTTCCAGTAAAAAGGGTATCCGGTTCTCTACACTCACCATACGAAACACAGCAGTGTTAAGCTGTTATTTTACGCTGGTATTCTGTGAGAGCGTGGTCCTTCCCCGATCGAGCCGACCCATTCGTGCTACAACTATACTACTTATATAGCTGCAGCATGACTCTACCACATGGGAGTGATCTAGGATCTATGTTTTATCAGAAAAACTTGGAGAATATTTTTGAGAAATCGTAAAATAGATAAAATAAATTGGCTTCGATGATTATCTTAAATATAAATAACGCCACATTAATAGATGCTAGTAGTTTAATATGATTGAACATAATTAACTTTTTAAATTTGTCACAACAGCGTGTTAACAACTTGATAATATTTTCGAAAACTTTCAAATACTCAGGACATTAGAGCACTAAAACTATTTACGCAAGAATCGGACGAGTTATAAAGGACACGGCATCAATAGCTATCTTCTTTTTAATCGGCCCATGAAAGTCCACTGCTTAATATGAACATATGAGCAATTTTCGTTGTAGGAGGATTTAGTCCTTAATCGTCAGGCTTAACAGACTCATTAATAATCGCAGCTCTATACGTCTCGCATCTTTGATTCTGTCCGTCATCCGACTCCGCATTCTATTTATTATATTCTATTATATTCTAGGTTTGAAGAAAACGTGGTGATCATACCACCATATATCCGTAAGCAATAAGATTTTTTTGGCACTTCTCATAGTTGTCTCTTTTGTCACTCACTGTACGAAATGGCGTAATGGGTTCTTCTACGCCACAACCACACGGCAAAACATTACCAGACACGAAAACCAACAATTTGTATGATTGCTAAAATACTAACATCCGCTGTAACTTCAACTTAAAACGTAAGTAACCAACAGACTCGTGAATTTTAAATTAGTATCGTCTACATAATTTTACCGTGTAGTGGCGAACTAAGAATATCCACTACTCCCTATCATTCCGTGTCGTCATCAAGAGATGGGCAGCAGAGTCTTCTTGATAACGACTAAAAAAAACATGCGTGAGTGTCGTGGAACACTTAGCTGGAACGAAGTTCCTTTCGTAGTATATTATTATTGATAAACGTATTATATTATTGATTAACAAATACAAATAAATGAATTACTATAGCGTCTATTAAAATGAAGCGTCATTTAAAATAATATTTCTTTTATGGCAGGATAAGAAAAAGTGAGAGGGAGATGGATATTATTCCATCTCGCTCGCACTATAGAAAGGGGGTCGTGACGGAAGAATCTTTCACTTTTTCTCGCCTAGCCCCCATCCTACAAATTTGTACCGTGCGATAAGGAACTTCGTTACAAAAAACTGTGGTTGCCAACCCGCTTGCCAATCGTGGCAACTAATAAATATCTCCTCTTTGAGGCGATCTATGGGGTAGGCTTGTGTTCAACAGTGGACTTTGATAGCCTATGACGGTAATGGTATCGGTAACATAATTTTACCTTTGAAAGTATTTTCATCCTTGCCCTGCCGAGTACTAATTGATTTAGGAAGCTTCTTTATCCAAGTTAGTAGTTTATTTTCACTCGCCGTTTTCACCAAAAGAAATAATAACAAATATATAGTACACTTCATTATTTTTTTACTAATATTTTCGTTATACAATTTATATTTAAGTTATATGATTATATTTTATAACTATTTTGTGGAAGGCCTATGTTCAGCAGTGGACTTGTGAAAAGCTGTAATTGTAAAATAATGATGATTATGCATACATTTAAATATGTTATTCATCTTTAAATAAACTAAATTATATTTATAACGATATACCTATATCGATAAATATAATTTAAGAGTTTCGAGTGGAAATGTACGTAATTAATATAATATTCACTCATAACACGAACAAATTCACTTTTAAAAAACACAGTCACTTTTACATTTGACACGCTGCACTGAAAAAGTCCGTCCAACTCTAAACGAAATTCGGTACCAACTAAACTTTTTTCTTTTACAGAAACATGACATACGAATACAGTATTTACGCAACGTCAAAGTTTGCGTGCGTATTTTTATGCCCATAACACTATTTCGTGAATTTCCTGAAAGAGTTAAGACAATATTTTAAAGTATAAGAGGTTACTAATTATGATTGAATCGCTTAGTTACATTTATTATTTGTACCTTGGGTTTTTAAATGTTCAGGCGCAATTTCAGGAAATTATGCGATAATATTTTCACTGAATACCAACGCTTTTTAACAGTTCAGCGCAAAGCTTGGTTTATATTTTATGAAACTTAATTAAAAATAAAACAGATTATGTGACCTTTATATATAATGTAATCAATATCAATTTTTTATATTTTTTTTGAGTTTTTATAACATTTCAAATGTAACGGTATATTGTTTTGCATGGGAGGAGGATATACCTAATACCAGTATAATTGTTAAAAATAAGCGGAAATAATCTTGTGAGTACACGCCTTAAGACTGACAAAATATTGTCGTTTATAAGATTGTAGCCTAATGATCCACAGAATTGCAAGCGAAACTAAAAAGTCGTGGATTCAATCGCATTTTAACTACTGTCATAAACTCATAACCCATAAGCTGCAACTAGCACAAGGATTTTCAACTTATTTGAAGTCATTAACCATTAAAATAATTAAAGTCGATAATAAAAGTAAGGTAAATAATTATGCTAATATTGTCCATTCGTGCTTCAACTATAATATAGCTGCAGCATGGCTCTACTAATAACATTCTGGAAAACTGATGCAGATTCAATGATATACGTATTAGTCCGTAGACCTGGCTGCACACTCGTTTCTAGCATCTCCTAAAGTTGCCTCTTACGTAACTAACGGGACGAGCCCACCCCGCCACTGCACTTCAAACTAATTGGTATTATAATATTAAATAAGAATATTAGCATAATTATAATTAACCTCACTTTTAGCAGCATGGCTCTACCACGTATATAATTTTTATTGTTATTAATTTGTTATCTGGAAGAATCAGCTCAGCATCTTCTGTTTAGTTAGTTAGTTAGTTTTCCTCTGTCATCTCTTACGACACCCACGCCACGGGACTATATACTCTATTGGATAGTGTATTTTCTTACACCACCAATACATGACAAATTATTCGTTACTTTTAGTCGCTATAGTCGTTTTAGTTATATCAATGTGGGAGGCCTATCTTTATCAATGCTCTTTTAATAAGCTGTAACAATGATGATGGTTATTGTTATCATTGTAAGAAAATATATTTATGACCTATGGTTATTGACCTCTGTACATCTCTATAAACAAATTATTGCATTCAAATGTAACGATAACAAATGTTGATGTGT